CCACTTGTCTGTATGCGAGTCCACAACATTGTCGGTTGAAGCCTTTCATCGAAGTCGCTCAGATCTGTTCTCTGGCGGTGCGGTGGTCGCCGGTCAAGGTGGAGCGGTCGTCCTGGATCGCTCACTTTGCTCACTTTGTCGGCTCTGTGCTGTAGAGGACGGCGGCGAGATCTACGGTGTCCATAAACTTTGTCGTTGACTTTGCTCCTTCACGATTTAATCACGAGCCTTTGCTTTCTCTTTCGCATATTTAATCAAAGGTTCAAATCCAACACTCCCTCTTGAACCCTTTGATTAAATACCCAATTTTGATTTTTCTTCCTCATCTCCCTCTTGCTTCGATTTATTCTTCTTAATCGACCCTTTTTCTCTATCTCCGACGACAGCTAGAGGTCACAACTCTCACCGATCACCAGTCACCGTCACGGCCGCCGTCTTCAACCACCACATCCTAACCGGTGAATTTTCTGGTGTAACTCTCAGCCCTCATCTCTGGCGAGCATCTCTTTATTCACCATCAATTCATCTGAGACTTCATTCAAGTCTCCCTCTTCGACAACGAGAGATATTGCAATGTCACAGTATATGATTTTTGAATTAGAGAAGAAAGGAGAAAACAAGAAAGGAGATGTCTGATTCAAGAAAACGTTTGGTGGATGAAACGTAATCCGATCAAGCTGAAACTTGGTGGTAAGCTTCGTGAAAATGCTGTCTTGAGTATCAACGGTGGGATTGAGATTTTGACGGTTGGTTTGTGTTTTATTCGAGCTTCTTCCGGGCACAGTTCATCTGAAAGTTTCAGATTTGACCAGTTCTTATGGAAATGTCAACCGGATGACCAAATAAACTCGGAATGAGATGAAATTTTGCAGAGATACTCTAGACATGTGAAACTAGATTCTGGTAGAAGGACACTGGATTTGGAGTCCGGGAACATAGTTTACTGATGACATTTCAGAACAGTTGATTCAAAGTCTTATGGAACAATGAGTTTCTAATGACATGAAAAAGGTGAAGAGCATAGATGTTGAAACATGTTATGGAAGCATCCTAGAAACTATGAAGAATGCTGAAAAGCGTTTTTAGAAGAGACTTTGAAACACAGAGATTGCAACTGAGACTAAGAGAGGAGTTGAGACAGAAAAAGTTCTTAGTTCATGAGAAAGATGAAATTATGTAAGAGAAGAGGTTCTTCTGAATGATTATCATCAGTAAGGTTTATGAAGAATGCTGAAAATCGTTTTTAGATGAGACTTTGACACAGAAAGATTGCAACTAAGGCTAAGAGAGAAGTTGAGACAAAAAATAAAAAGTTCTTAGTTCATGAGAAAGATGAGATTATGTGGGAGAAGAGGTTATTCTCAATGATTGTTATTAGTAAGGTTTATGATGATATTCTGTCATCAAACTTTCTGTTAAATCAAGGTATAAAGTCATGGAAAGTCTCAGATCAAAGAAAGATAATGCATGTTGGTTGAGAAGTTTTCTTGTGAAGAAAAGTTCAGTCAAAGGTTCTTTTGGAGAAAATTTGCAAGGAGATTTCAAGTGTGGCTCATGCTGGTGATAAACTGTGAGAAATTGTTTCATCTTAAAGAGAAACCAAAAGTGAAAAGCAATTGGAGAGGAGAATTCTACGTGATGATTCACTCTATATGAGAAGCTGATTGGGATCAATCTGCGATGTATCCGCTGCAACTACAAGGTCGATAGGAGTTGACACCGCTGAAGGAATTTAAATCCGAAACTCAGCTGAATGAGAGAAGAATCTTCTATTGGAGTTAGAGTAACCCTTTGGAAAGGAAAGAGATGTTCTGTTTGTGGTATTTGGTGACAGCGTGCTGGTGTAAATTCTTGATTAGGAGAAAGTCACTAAATCTGATACTATATAAGATGCCATCTGACAAGAATTGTGTATGAAAACAAGAATTGGCTCAAATACCAATCCAGAGACATGAATGTCAGAGCATTGGCTCAGCAGTTCTGAGAGTACAAGGCATTTGAGTAAATGGAGTCTGAAACTGATCTCTACGTCGGCGTCTTCAGAATTTGGTTTATCATGAAGAGTTATTAATGTGAGAATCTGATTGTGTTTGTTGAAGAAACGTAAAACACAAGTTAGTGGTGAAGAATCAGTCTTCTCATAGCTCGTTCATAAAGATGAGGATTCACGTATTGAAGTATTCATGGATCTGTTGCTATCACAAGAAGAAAAAGACCTTCAATATTGGAGAAGCTTTGCAGAAAAAAAAAAATCGTTAGAAAGCTCCATGTTTTTGCTTCGAAGGGAAGGACTGTAGAAGAAATATTAGAAAAGTTGATGCAGAAGACGCTCCGTGAATGACAGATGGCAATAAAAGGAACTTCAGAGAATGATCAGAAGCTGTGTCAACATATCTGTTGGAATCAAACACATTTAGAGGCAAAGGCAGAGGTTGACATCATTTTCTTTGAGTTTTTAACTTAGTTATGCACTCAAGCAGGGGGAGATATCGCACACAAAGAGAGTTCTTCAATCTTATCTGGTCTGAGGACATGAATTGAAGAATGGGGTTTTACTTGAAACTGACTAATGAGAATGGATGGATGCTGCTTGCGTGTGTCTTTGACTGAATGAAGTTTGATTTAAAGAGCAGAGTGCTTGAGTATCAAACTAAGTTAAAAAGGGGGGAAATGAAGATGTTAGATCTTTTGAGTCTAATAGATGATGAAACATGAAGCATTGAATGTGTCCTTGGGCTCTAAAACGCAATCATCAAGAGGGAGATTGTTAGTGTTGTGTTGACTGGTTTCTAAAAGCATAATCGAGAAAGGTTTTACTCAGTTTGTGATACAAGCACGTGGAGATTGTTTTAGACCATAAATAGCCTTCTTTAATTTTAAGACTTTGCCATCTTCAACGTCAATGCCAGGAGGTGGGTAACATATAGACTTCTTCTTCAAGCTCTCC